GGCCGGGATCGCTCCGCGCCGGGCCCGCAGCTCTGACCGCAGCCCGCTGTAACTCAGCCCCCGTCTCCTCCCCGCACGCACCCAGGCCGCAAAGGAGGTGCCGCGGTCTGACCCTGACGGAGCTCTGGCAGGGAACTGCTGGCCAGAGATGAGCTGGTGTGGACCAGAAAAGCTCTTTCAGCCCTGGATTGCCAGGCTGAGCGCAGCCCAGGTTGGTAATCGTCAACATCTACTACATTGGACCGATGTTTTTCTGGACAACGTGACAACTCCTGGATTTTCCAAGCTGGAAGACGCTCGCATTGCTGAAAACTGGTGATTTAGTAGCGGGGCAATAAAAAAGACAGGCTTTGAATGCAGCAGGGAGACGCACTTTCTCACAACAAAGGGTGTTCTTCTTTCTCTCCTTTTCCAAGACTTTTCTGTCCAGTTACGAGGGCATAGTTGCAACACATGAAGGTCTCCATAGCACTTCAAACTATGTTGTAACAGGAGAAAGGGCAAAGTGTACTGCAACTAGGTCCCCGAGCTGGGTTGTCTGCACCGTTAAGCATTAGGCAGGTAAGGTCTGTTTTCAGTTGCACTGAACAAGCATTTCTGAGGAGGATCTAACTGTGCATTGGAACTGAGAGCTGCTCACACACGGTTGGTAGTTGTGGGAGCAATCAGAAATAACCCAATATGCAAAGCCTTGAGGATGTCAAAAGATGCTCAAGGATGTCCAACCTCACATTGCTGTCTTCACAGCTGAGCTGCAAAGAACTTCATTTTTATGACTATAGATCATTAAGAATGTGCCAAAATGAAGCCCATCCCACGCGTTAATGCAGGCGGGCCGGAGCTATATCCACTATCCTGGGAAGCCATCTAGTGGTAAAAACTAGAATTAATGAAAAATGACATCTGACAGACCTCAAACTTCTGTCTATAGTTGCTAAAGCACCGCTGGAATGGAAGTGTAAGCATCTGTACATAGGTAGCCAAGTTATATTACACAACCAATACAAGAGTTAGGGAGCTGAATCCCTTTGAAAATAAATTCAATTTTATGTTTTGGCATCAAACAGGTATTTTCCAAAACAGGCATTGTTCAAAGTGGCCATACAGTTACAGAGTGTTCCAGGGTTATTTGTTTGCAAAATGAAGAGCAGCCAAGTTTCTGGTGCCACCCGCATTTAAAACCTATATCACACAAATTTTTTAACACAAAATATGAACAATATCTACATCCTTGAACTTCAGCTGTTAAAAGTTCCACAAAAGTTTTCAGAAAAAAAAGAAAATAAAATCTAGAGAGAAATTTGCAGAGTTCTTACCTTTAAATGCCAGGTTACCTCATATGAAATTAGCCATATGACTATCACTGAATCATCACAAAGTGTCAGGAGAGAGGCTTTTGGAGGGAAGAAGATGCAGCGTTCTAACCAGAAACTGTAAGTCTGTACACCTTGTCAGAATCAGGTGGTATTCCCTAACTGAGCTGCATCTGAAATAACCAGAGCTCCGAGAATTCCCATTGCTGCTTGGCAGCATTTAGCACCTCTGCATGTTTTTACAGTAATACCTTTAGAAATGGAGCCAGGGGAGGCACCTGGCATTACAATTTTCCTCTCAGTCCAAAAACTCTGAAGGGGAGAGAGAAATTACACAGAGAGCCTAGTGTCTGGTTTAAAAAAGAAGGACTCAGTGTCTGGACTGGTAACAAATACAACCACCTTCTGGTATGGAAATAAGCAGCACAGTTAAAAATGAAAAGGTATGAAGTTATTAAAAGTAAATTTGATTACCGATTCCTGAGTTCAGTCTCTATGCACAAAGCACCACAGACACATTTAAAATAGAAAAGTCAGCAATATTACACAGTTAACCTGTTCAGACTAAAACCAAAATTAATTATTAATTTAAAACATTTGCAGGTCCTTTGAAGCCAGTGGGAATGCAATAATCTTGTGAATATTGATTCCATGCATCTGTTTCCAGCTTGAATGATACTCTAAAATGTATTGGAACTGGGGTTTTTTCATTCATTATGATTTTGGTTTATTGACCTATGTGCAAAGTTGCTACCAAATTTGGAGTGGGAATAAAAACACAGTTCTAAATATTTAAAATTTTCCTAACCTTCTCTTCAAATGTCATGAAAGTACTAACTATTTTACTTCTTTACTACTTTACTTTGGATTTACCTTGAAGCAGTGAAAACCAGTAGTTACTACATTGTACAAATGTACAAAAGCAAGAAGCAAAAGCAGACTTACAGTAAAACTGAAGTTGCTGCATCTTGCCTTTAATTAATATGGTGAAAAATATATGCAAGTTATTTTAAAATTCACCTAATTCAACCAAAAAGTCAAATGGCTTTAAATTCTACAGATACTGTATAAAACACTGAGAACAGCTGAGGTTTGTCCCTTTTAATTGCAGTTCCTCTCTGAAAAGTGGCAAAAAAGTAGTATTCTGGGATTTCACCTGATTGTTGTATAGCAACCATTCTGCTCTTTTTTGCCGAGAGGTCTTGTTCCAAACTGTCACCTTCACAAAGCCAACATGTGCTTTTGTTCAAAAAGTTCATCTCTGTTAGTGAAACCCCCTAAACTGTACCTTCATGCAGGTTTGATTATCCAAACCGCTTCCAGTAAAGGTCTGTAAGTGCAAACAGACGCTCAGTGCATACCTTTGTTGACGGTAACAAGGATCTGTCACTTCACAGCAGCTGTTCCTAACTGTAAGCGAGAAGTTGTCCCAAAGTGAATCCCTTCCATGTTTCCAGTCAGAAGTCCTTAACCAGTGCACTGGAGCATCCCACAAGCAGGCCTGTTAATTTTGTAAAATTGCATCAGTTGATAACGCTATCACTTAGTTGCAGAATAAATTTTGCATTTCGGACAGTTGCACAGTACTGAACTATTTGTTTCCTATTTCAAAGCACAAATTGCAAAAAAACCCAAAAACTTGGCTTAAGCCATTTTCACGGCACTTTCAACTATGTTTTATTCCAGTTTGCAACAAGAGCAAGAAGGTAGTCATGTAGTACCTCTCAGTGGTAACTCGTTCAATTTTGACTTCCGCTTGTGTTTGAATTTCTAGGTTTGCACTTCTTAACAAAGTGTAAAGGAAAACAGCTTTAATACGTTGTTACGAATCTATTCTGAATTAATAGGTTTAAATTTAGATCATCCCTGAACGACCCACTCCTGGGACCACAGCTAAAAAGATGCGTTTATGCTTTCTGAATACTGAACCACAATAATGCGTAATAGTCCAGCTTAAAACTAAACCTGTTGTTCATATGTGGGCTAGCTAGTGTAAAGGTAGGTTAGGAAGCCCTGTAAGTAGCTGAGACCCAGCTTTTGATTGTAGTTAGTGTAGATTTACTAATACTCTCTATCAGAGTCACAGAAATCTACTTTTTCTTACTTGCCCTGTCTTGAAGAAACAAATAGCAGTGAAAAAGCAACTTTTACCTCCAAAATAAGCTGATACATTTTCTATACACATCACTTGCATAACACATGTCCATTTTTGCAGAACAATGTTACATGGATCTATGCAGAGGCTCAGGTAGAGTGTCTGAATGCTTAGATCTTGATGGTGTACCTACACATACTGGCAGAACTCTAAAATTGTTCATAGAGCCTTTACAGCCACGCTCCTAGTAAACTTGGAAGTCAATGCAAATAGAGTTGCTAAACTCTTTTGAGCTGGGAATTAAAAGCATGCTCAAGGCATGTCTGAAAGCATCTGGGCTACGAATTCTGTGTTTTCAACTTACAAAAACCCACCCAAATATATACAGTACATTAGTA